AAAAAAAAAAAAAAAAAAAACTGCTTTCTTGAGAAATCCAGTTAAGAAGGACTCCCTATTTGCAAATTTGTTCAGTGCTAGATTAATGAAGTGCATATGCATTTTCTACCCTTACTGCTTTACCAACCTTTCACAGTTACACTGAATGATAATCGAGCTGTTCCCAGCAGATTCTTCGCTGTACACGTATAGTTACCGCGGTCCTCAAACAGAATTTCTTTTATCTCCAAAAACTGTCTTCCTTCTCCTTGTAGCACGTGATCGTCTTTATACCACGTGATTACCGGCTGTGGAAACCCTGCTACTTTGCAAGGCAATGTCACGTTATCTTTTTCTCGGACCGTCACGGTTGGAGAAGGCTTTGCAAGGAAGGAGGGGAATTCTGGAAAACAAATATTCTTTGTTGACGTCCTTGATTGTCTGGTATAATGAATATACATGATATACATCCCAGTACATTTATGCAAAACTTTAAATCAAACCTTCGTTTCAATCAGGTAGCAATCGGTTTTACTTAAATCTTCCTTTTGGTCGACAATCAATCAATCAATCAATCAATCAATCAATCAATCAATCAATCATTAGCTTCGGTCAATCTTTAAGTCACACAACATTGGACACAGTAATTGCACTTTCAGAGACCACAAAGTCCTACATCTGACCAAAATTTGAACGTCCCTGTAAAAATTATTGCAAGACAACCAACAAAACATTGATAAACTAACAAAAAGCTAGTCAATCATCGCTGTTCCGATGGAACTTCATGCACTTATAATGTAAATGCGTTATTTCCTCGGTTTATAAACAACAATTTTCATTTCCCGGTCGTTTCTAAAGTTTCTAACGTCTTAACGTGTTCTATTCGTTCACGCGTGTTAATCAATTGATTAATTAATTATTACTAAACAAGTCACTTATGACATCAGTAGAAGTGGGTGAACCGGGAGGGCCTTGTGACCGGCGGGCCTTTGAGGTCCAACAGGACGTGAGGAATTTGTTGCAAGCTGAGACATTTCACATACGGGAAACAAAAATAGCCCGAGCTATGTGCGGTTTACTTGGGACAAAGAAATATTTGTACACATACCTCCCACGCACACCGTCCTTCCGTTATTTGTTTCCACTGTCAAATTCTGTTGATTGAAAGAAAAAGAATATGTTAAACTTAATTTGGAGCAACCACAAGGGAGAAAAGACTTAAAAATGATGTTTAATACATCTTGCCAAAGTAACTAAGCAGTGAAAATTAGTGACGCTAGTTGACAGACTGCTTGATATACATATAAATGGCTTGATAGAAAATGCATTTTCTCATCGGTGTATCAGTAAGACCTGGAGGCTGCAGTGAAACTACTATTTTCACGGGTGAGGTTTTACTAATTGTTTTTTTTTTGTTTGTTTTTTTGTTTTTTTGTTTTTTTGTTTTTTTTTTGTAGCAGTAAATTTATTTAAGCTTTGTTTCAGCCACAGGCGGCCCAAACGTTGAATACGATTAATACGTGACATTATGCTGTTGGCGATTGCGTTACAATTT